TAATCTAGAATTTGTCAAGATCCTTTGAGAACAGATTTGTGAAATAGAAATTATTGTTCATCTCTATCTGTGTTTTCCTTAGCCTTAATAAAATTATAAATGTTCTCCTATAGAATATGGAGAAAGGAAAGTTCTCAGTCTTTGGTGTTGGGTGGATATTATAGACATTTGGTGAGGAAAGTAGCTGTAGATGGACATGCAGGCAGCTGTAAACTCAATGTTATTAGAAGGTTCAGAGTTTGTAATAATTGCTTAACAAGACACAATCCAAGTAGCATTTATACAATTCAAAAGCAATTTTCTACTCTGGAGGAATGAAGGTATATGTGAATTACTTGTTTCAGAAGTGAGATCGATCATATGATAAAGGACTTAGAAATTTAACCACTTTATTATTGTTATTTTTTATTTTGGCAAAAAAATCACATAATAAGACATCTACCCTATTAGCAAATCTCTAAGTGCATGGTACAGTACCGTTAACTCTGTGCACATCTGGGTACAGCAGATCTCTAGAACGTCTTCGTCTTGGGACAACTTGGTTAGCTCAGTCGGTGAAGCGGCTGCCTTCGGCTCAGGTCTTGATCCTGGGGTCCTGGGATTGAGTTCCACGTCGGGCTCCTTGCTCAGCAGGAAGCCTGCTTCTCCCTCTGTCTGCCTCTGTCTCTCTCTCTCTTTCTCTGAAAAATAAAAAAAATAAAATCTTTAATAAAAACAAATAGAACTTCTTGGTCTTGCAGTTTAGAGTTTTGACTAAAACTCTATACCCACTGAATGGCAGCTCTTCATTTCTTTCTTCCCCCCGGCCCCTGGCAGTCAGCATTCCATTTTACACTTCTATGAGTTTGAGTACATTAGAAACCTCATGTAAGTGGAATCATGCAGTATTTGTCTTTCTGTAATGGCTTATTTCACTCAGCATCATGTCCTCTGGGTTTATCTGGATTGTAGCATATGCCAGTTTTCCTTCTAGTTTTAAAGCCAAATAATATTCCATTTTATGTATTACCACAGTTTATCTCTTCATCCACTGATGGATGTTTGGGATATTTCTGTCTCTTGTCTAATATGAATAATGCTGCAATGGAAATGAGAGTGCAAATATCTCTTCCAGATCCTGTCTTCAATTCTTTTGAATAAATACCTAGAAATTAGGGGACTGTTGGATCATTTGGGAATTATATTTATAATTTTTGAGGAAATCCTACACTGTTTTCCATAGTGGCTGCACCATTTTATGTTCCTACCAACAAAGCACAAAGGCTGCTATTTCTATTTCTTTGCCAACATTTCTTATTTTCTGTTTTTTTGTTTCTTTGTTGATAAGTGCCATCCTAACAGGTGTGAGGTGATATCTCATTGTGGCTTTGATTTGCATTTCCTTGATGATTAGTGATGTAGAACATTTTTCTTTTCATATATCAGCCATTTGTGTGTCTTCTTTGCCCATTTTAATTTTAATTAATTAATTAATTAATCAAACTGCTTCATATTTTACTTATTTTTTCAGTGTTCCAAGATTCATTGTTTATGCACCACACCCAATACTCTTTGCCCATTTTTAAATTAGGTTATTTTGCTTTTTGCTATTGATTCATGGGAGTACCTAATGTATTCTGAATACTAACACCTCATGAGATATATGGTTTGTAAATATTTTCTCCCATTGAGAAGGTTTCCTTTCACTCTGTTGATTGTTTCCTTTGACGTAGAGAAGCTTTTTTAGCTGATGTAGTCCCACCTGTCCATTTTTGCTTTTATTTCCTATGCTTTTGGTGTCATATCCAAGAAATCATTGCCAGGACTATTGTTACAAAATTTCTCACCTGTTCTCTTCTAGCATTTTTACAGTTTTGGGACATACATGTAAGTCTTTAATTCATCTTATGTTGATTTTTGTGTCTGATATAAAATAAGGGTCCAAATTCATTCTTCTGTATGCATATTTCTAGTTTCTCCAACACAATTTTCTGGAGAGACTGTGCTTTCCCCATTGAGCAGTCTTGGCACCCTTGTTGAAGATCATTTGACCCTCATACATGGATTTATTTTTGGGTTCTCTCTTTTCTTCTCTTGGTCCATATGTTTGTCATAAGCTAGTATCATACTATTTTGAATACTGTAGTTTTGTGATATGTTTTGAAATAAAAATTGGGAACCAGCTTCTTTTTCTTTTTTTTCCCGAAGAATGTTTGGCTATTGTTGGTTTGTGGTTTTATGTGAATTTCAGGATTTTTATTCTTTCTGCAAGAAATGCCACTGAGATTTTGATTGAATTGTTTTGAATCTGTGGATTGCTTTGGGTAATATGGATATTTTAACAATATTAAGTCTTCCAGTTGTGAACACAGCCCATCATTCCATTGGTTTGTGTTATTTTTAATTTCTTTCAGCAATGTTTTGCCATTTTCAGTATACAAGTCTTTTGCCTCATTGGTTAATTTATTGCCAAGTGTTTTATTCTTTTTTGATAGTATGAACAGGATTGTTTTCTTAACTTCCTTTTGAAATTGTTTGTTGCTGGTGTATAGAAATGCAACTGATTTTTTGCTGTTGATTTTGTATCCTGCAACTTTGCTGAATTTATTAGTTCTAGCAGTTTTATGTGTATGCGTGGAACGTTTATGGTTTTATACATTTAAGATAGTATCACCTGCGTACAGAGATAGAAGTTTAACTTCTGACTTATATTTACTTTTAGAGTAATTTTTATTAGGGCAGTGATAATAAGTAGCCACTGTATAATTCTTTATATTTTTTTTCCTCCTAAATATGACTAAGTTTTGTAATTCAAAGACATATTCAAACTCTTTAGACCACAATCTTCCTACCTGTGGAAAAGGTATCTAAGGGTTAAAAAGAAGATTCAGGGCATAATAACATTTGATTCCCACAAAGCAACTTTATTAAGTATATGTTAATAAGAAGGGCATTTAACAAGAGCAAACTGAAGCTGAAGCTTTTGAGATTTACTTGTATGACATAATTAGTAGGTGGTAATGCCATGATTAAAACTTGTGTTTTCTCATCCACAGACTTTGCTGAGTAATTGAACAGCCTATGCATTTTAACTTCGTAGCGCTACTTTTTTCTTGCTGATTTTTCTTTAGTTCCTTTAATATTAAACTTTGCTTTGTATATCTGAACATTGACAACCTATGGCTGGGAAAAGTGCTGAAATATTTTTTGTAGTAGGGATCAGGTAGCCTGGGACAACCACATTTACTGAGGTAAATGCACAAATGATTATAAGCATTGTAAGCAAATGCTATATAATAGATTTACTTAATATTTTAGTTATATGCTGATTCTATTTATTTTTCATTTTATAGAGTTTTATCTTTATCAGGACAGTATTGTTTGTATACATCTGTGGGTTAAACATATTTAATTGCTTTAATTCCACTTTAGTAAATCCAGTACCTACATTCTTTGTGGCTTAGTGTACTTTTCAATCATTAAATAATTTATTTTTAGACTGCTATGAATTACAGTATTTTTCACTGAAACACTCAATTCCCAAATGGTTATATAGCATCCTAGCTGATCCTACTCAGAAGCATATTGTTTGCATTAATAAAGTCTTAATACATTTTTATTTTTCTAAGGGTTCTTGCAATGGTACATTTATCAAGAGCCCTTAGATGATTCATGGGAAATGCTGAATTATGTATTTTTGATCTTGAGCATTTTCATTTTGTTCTAAAGTTGCTTTTATCTGCCTATTCATCAGAATAAACACTGCTGTTCCTACTTGAAATGTGTTTTGTTGTGCAAACTTAATATCTGTGTTTTCAAATAAATATTTATATCATATCAGACTTTTTACAACTCAATTTTATTTTCAAAGTCATCATCTTTCTTTCCTCATTTAACTTAAGATATGCAAAACCATTTTTTTATTTATGGAGGATTTGATGAGACAAGAATTCACCTACTGGTAGCTATGACTCTGTAATATGGTAATATTTCAGTCTGATTTCAGTCTCCTTCAGGGGGAAAGAACTCTTATTAAGTGAAGGTTATAAAGATGACAGTTTGCAGTGGAAGAATCATTCTTGAATTCAGGATACTTAAACCAACCTATGTTCATGGGGCACATGCTATATCTTACAAAAACAACAGGAAAACCCATTATAGAATGGTTCTGACCACTAACCTTGGCTAAACCAATAAGCTAATTGCTCTCTGTCTATGGCTTTGATGAAATGGCCCTAGAGATATCAATCACACAGATCTTGAGACTGTGTAGTTGATAATTTGCTATTTTAGATGATTGATAATTACTTCTAAGATATTAGACAGCCTTAGTAAGAGGAAACCACAATTGTTTTTCCAGTAATTTCTACTTGTGATCAACAGAAATGAGAGAGTAAATCAATGTCCACATCTTCTTGGAAAATTTTAATCTTCCTTTAAGGTTTTAACCTTTTAATTTTTTCAGGTTATTTTGAGAAAAATTTTCATTGTGTATGACATTTTGGTATCACCTTTACTGATTGTATTCTGGTTATTATTTAAGATTTTTGTTTTTCAACTTTGGTGTGGTATTTGCTATGAAACTTAGCTTCACTTTACACTGAAAAATATTAATTTTATTTCATATGATTCCCTAGCCACATGAACCAGATATCCACTGGCCTGAATATGAGTATGGGTGACCTACTAATTCTTTGGGAATGAATGAGAAAATTCTCCATGAGGAAGAACTTTATGAATGCCAGATTATATATCTCATAGTTTTGTTTTATGGTTGGCCCTAATGATACCATTAAGTATGCAAAAATCCTAGTAGTAGAAACATAAGATGAATTTACTTGGAAAAGTCTTTTCTAGAACAGAAATACATATTTTCATCTAACACCAAAAGACTCAGGGCCTTATGATGTCCATGTCTTTCATAAAAATTAAAGAATGATATTATCTTTTTAAGGAAATTTGGTTAATTCACCTCTTTAAAAGAGCAAATATATGTTTTTTTTTTTTTCTTTTCCTTTTAGCATGTGGAGAAACCCTACAAGAATCCAATGGCAACCTTTCCTCTCCAGGATTTCCAAACGGCTACCCTTCTTATACACACTGCATCTGGAGAATTTCGGTGACCCCAGGGGAGAAGGTAGTTTATATCATCAAGAGTTCTCATTTAATGTTATATAAAGTGTTAAATATACAAAGGTTCATTTTCTTTTAAATATAATTTGCTTTATTTTTTATTCTTATTTGATTTTTTCAAATATGAGACTAAAAAACTCAGAAAAGTTAAAATGAAAATTGCTCAAGCTCTGGAAATTTTTTTGAAAAATGTAATTTAAAAAGAAATAATAAATGCTCTAAAAAGGTTGAAATAATGTTCTTAGGCACAATGGAATTAAGTTAAAATAAGTGTCACATAGATAACCAGAAAAATCCCACATATTCCAGTTAAGAAATATATATAAAATATCCAGTTTAGCTAAGAAGCAATTATAGTGAAGAATAGAAATAATTTTCAGCTATAATATAAAAAAATACTGAATAGCAAGTCTGTAAGATGCAATGAGAGCAATAGTTGGAAGGAAATTCAGAACTTAAATGCTCACATTAACAACTAAAAAAATGCCCTAAACTAATGAGTTAGACATTCTTATTGAATGGCTATTAAAGGTATAGTAAAATAAATGTAAAGGTGCATAATAGAGGAAGTAATAAATAATAAATAAGTTAAGGAATTCAAAATAACATGGTACAAAGTATGAACAAAGTTGGTTCTTTGAAAAAACTTAGAAATATAGGAAAATGGATGTAAACAGATCAAGAAAGAAAAAGAATAACAGGAAAAGCACAATTATCTATCACTAGAATGAAAAGGTTATTGTAACCAAGATGCTCTAGACACAAAAATGAGAATAAAAGAATATTGTCAACATTATACCAGTAACTTAAAAAATGTAGATGAAATGGGAAAACTCCTACAAAATATTACTGAGTTCTTACTTGAGAAGAAAAAAAAAACTTGGTTACTCCTATACAACTAAAGAAAATGAACTACTGTTTAATTGAATTATTAGATATTTTTCAGCAATGAAAATCCAAGCTCACATGGCTTAATTAGTGAGTTCTAGCCAACATTCAAATAAGGACTAAGTATAATCCTATATAAACTCTTCCAGGGAATAAAAAAGAAGATCCACTTTCCTATTTATATGGCTAGCAAAACCTTGATAGCATTCCTGACAAGGACAGTATAAAAAAGAAAAAGATTCCAAGCTAACACTTGAATATGGAAGTAAAATCCTCAAACCAAACCAAAGCTTTGCATGCATGTATATAGACACAAACACCATTAAATGTGCATCTCAATTAAATCAAGAAAAAATATCTATTACTGATTTAACAACAACAAACCCTGAACAAACTAGGAATAGGTACCTTCTTAATCTTCAAAAGCAGATCAACAAAAATTATTACAAATATTATTCTTGGGAAAATTCTGTAAGTATTTCTTTCTACCACACCACTTTCTTTTTGGTGGAAATCATGGCAGATTAAGGCAAGAAAATGTAATTAAACATAGTAAGGATTAAAAAAGAAGAAAATTCCCTTCAGCATATTTGGTTTGTTGGTTAAATTGTTTATTATTAAGAAAGAAAATGAATGACTCTATTAACTTTTGAATTCTGTCTTGAACGCTAAACTTAAAAGTCTTTCCAGAACAAGATTATATTGATATTAATCTTTATTTTTACTACTTATTAAATAGTTTTTGTTCTTTGCTTATGACTAATTCATCTGTAATGATTCAATTATACTTAGAGTTTTGTTGAGGATGCATTTGAAGTTAAGGAAAGTTTAATATTCCTGATAATTGAATGTTGTTAGGAGAATCATGGGTGTGGAGCTGTCCAGGGTGTTCCGATACTCAACGTGAAAGCTGAATGAAACGTTTGTGTAACATGAATAGTTTTTAAACATAAAAAGGTACAATTGACTTAGAATACATGAATGCACACATAATTCTTTAGTCATTTTTAATTTAAGAATAAAAGTCTATGTTGTAATGTAGTTATAGATGTTGATCAGTTTCTATATGAATTTTTGAACAAGCTCATGAGAATATTTTATGAAAATCATTCTTAAAAAGATACTGAAGAGATATAAAAGCTGATAAAAAACTATACATGATTTTGAAATTAAAATTATTGAATATGAAGAGTTTTGAACAAGATTAATAAAAATTACATCCATTCATAAGAACAAAATAATACAGGAAAAAAATTGGTTCCTCCTATCCAATTGCAGTGTCCAGACCATCAGTATTCAAAGTTTATTCACTTTTCTTGTATGTATGATTACCAATAAAACTGTAGCTTCCAAAATGTTATAAATAGGAAGAAATCAACACATCTGTCATCTTTTAAAATTATTTTTATTTTTATGTATGATGATGAGCAAATAAATTGAATTAAGTGAACAATATTAACTAATTTTTTTCATTCTTGTGTTTTTACTAATTTCTTTTTGTTTTAAATTTGGGTTTATTCTGTTGTTCTTAGTTGGCAGTTTAACTCATTAATTCTAATACAAACCCGTAAGGCTATAAATTTCCTTCTAAGAACTACTTTTATCTGAATTTAACCAGCTTGACATACAGTGTTTTTGCTATTTTTCAATTTTAATTACCTTCTTTGTCTCTTATTATTTCTTCTCAACCAACATTTTTTTTAGTAATATGTATTTTCTTATTTGCAAAGATACATTTTCCCCCCCAATCATCCTTTTCTTGTTAATTTCTCCTTTAGTCAGTTCTGGTGAGAGACTGTGAGAGACTGTACTCTGTAAGATGTCAGTCTTTGAAATATTTTGAGGCTGGCAGTATGACCTTGGAGCTGACCAGTCTTCATAAAGAATAATCATCGCTTTAAAGATGGGGCACCTGGGTGGGGCAGTTAAATGTCTGACTCTTGATTTTGGCTCACATCATGATCTCAGAGTCTTGAGACTGAGCTCTGTGTCTTGCTCTGAGCTGGGCCTGGAACCTGCTTAGGATTCTCTCTTTTTCCTCTCCCTCTGCCCCTGACACCACTCTCTCTCTCTCTAAATAAATAAAATCTTCAAAAGAAAAACGAAATGTGTTTTGTGCAGTAGCTGGGTGGTAAGTTCTCTATGCATATGGGTGGCAGTTCTCTTTTTAATTGTGAAATGTATATATTCTCTAATTATTGTTTTTTTTTTTTTTCTTTATCCAGTAGAAAGTTATGTTAATATCTGTCACTATTTGGTGGATTTATTCATTTACCTTTTAAAAATAAATATTTGTTAAAAACAAATTTTATATTTATTTATATTTCAATATATTTAAATATTTTTATTCTATGTTTTATATACATACTGTGTTTAGAATTTAACATCTTCTTGGTAAATAAACTGTTACTATACACTGTATTTTTTTATCTCTAGTCATTACTTAGGTTAGTACTCTTTTTTTTTCTGATATTAACAAGGATACACATTCTTTTAATTAATATTCTAGCTTGGTTATATCTTTATCTTGCTTTAGACATTCAGTTGTTCCGTGGTCTTGTGTCTCAGGTGTGTCCCTTTTAGGTAGCAAATAGTTTGGTTTTATTTTTTATTTAATTCATGGTGGTTAGTTTGTCTTTAGTGTTTAATTACAGTTACCTTTATTGTGATTACTGATGTATTATTACTTCTTGTTTGCATTCTGTATGTCCCACTTTGTTTCTTTTGTCCTACCTTTTTTTGCCTTTTTATATATTGAATTTATGGTTTTGTTTTCCCTCATTTCAATTATTTTCTGTCTATTGGGTTGAAAGTTTTAAATGTATATTTTATTATTTGGTACCCCTGTTCTACCAGCCTTCTTAATGGGGTCATATTTAAATGGTATCCTTATCCTCCCAAACCATAAAAAGATGCTTAAAAAAAAGATTATAATACACATTATCTTCATTTTATATGCTATTGTTTAGTATTTTTCTTCAAGTTTGTTTCCTTATACAAATGAGATATTGTTGTGGTTTTTTACACTTAACATTTGTTAAGCTATATGCAAATATTTACCAAATTTTTTATTATGGTGAAAAACATGTAAAATGTACTGTCTTAACCATTTTTAAGTGTACAATTCAATAGTGTTAAGTACATTCACATTGCTGTGAAGCAGATCTCCACAGCTTTCTCAGTTTGCAAAACTGAAACTCCGTAGCCATTATGTCCATTTTCCTTACCCCTCAGACCCTGGGAACCACCTTTCTACTTTCTGTTTCTATGAATTTGATTACTTTCCATACCTCACATAAGTGGAAGCATACAGCATTTGTTTAATTATGACTGGCTTATTTCATTTAGCATAATGGTCTCAAGGTTTAACCATGTTTTAGTATGTGACAGGATTTTCTTCCTTTTTAAGGTTGAATGCTATTCCATTGTATGTATAGACACATTTGTTAAACCATTCATCCATTGATAGACATTTGAGTTGCTTCCACCTTTTGGCTATTGTGAATAGTGCTACTACGAACAAGAGTATGCAAATATCTCTTTAAGACAGTGCTTTCAATTCTTGTGGATCCATACCCTGAAGTGGGATTGCTGGATAATTTGGTAGTTCTGTTTTTAATTTTTTAAAGAACTTCCATATTGTTTTCCATAGTAGTTGCACCATTTTACAATCCCATCAGCAATGTAGAAGGGTTCCAAATTCTCCACATCTCCACAAAAATGTAGTGTTTTGTTTTTTGATAGTTGCCATCCTAATGCAGGGAGAGATGATATTTCATTGTGGATTTGATTTGCATTTCTCTGATGATTAGTGATGTTGTCCATCTTTTCATATGCTTCTTGGCCATTTGTGTATCATCTTTGGAGAAATGTATCTTCAAGTGTCTTGCCCATTTTTTAGTTGGATTATTTTAGTTTTTCTTGGGGAGTTATAGGAGTTCTTTACATATTGGGCTTTAACACCTTATGAGATATATGATTTGCAAATATTTTTTTTCTTTTTTATAGCTGCCTTTTTACTTTGTTCATTATATGCTTTGCAAAAGCTTTTTAGTTTGATGTAGTACCACTTAACTGTTTTTGCTCTTTTTTTTTTTTTTTTTTTTGCCTCTGCTT